AGCATTTCGGACTTGGGAGAGATGTTATCTGTCTAACCTCTTCGTTTCAACAGTTTAAATACTCTCGTTCACTTAATTTGCATCCTCGCGAGGAAATGCGAGGGGAAATAAGAAAGTTCAGGAAAAGCTTACAAATTAAAATAACTGTTAGTAAAGCTAGTAAAGCTAAACAGGACTGTGTAGCGTTAGAAGAAAGGAGAATATATCCCTTGCTACCTGTGTCTTTTCGTGATTCAGTTCTTCGGAAATTGCGCAATTCCGGAACAATAGGGGATATTATTCGGAGAAATTTACGGTAAATTTTTGCTTAATAAAATATCAATTTAAGGAGGAAATTACAAATTTGAAAATAATAGATAAGTAGAACGTTATGAAGAGGTTACACTTCATATTAGTTCTAATTGGCTGCTTTATTAAAACAGGGGAATGTTGCTAATATAACGTCAAAACTATATTTGAAACCTTTTAGTTTAAATTAATTAACAGTTTCTCTGCATTGGTGCAAATACCTAATTCTAATATTTTTTTAATTTGGAATTTTTATTTGAAATTGTAGATGATGGGGAGAAATTAGGTCAAAAAGCTATTTTAATTATCTCAAAACACTGAAGCACAAGACATCACAAATTAGGTTGTTTACATTACTTCCTCTTTGACGTTCTTAGTATAAATATTAATTAGTGTCGCACTGGGTATGCAAATGACAGTACTTTTTTTTTCAACCGTACCCAAATTAAAAGCAGGATCTTGACACTCACCATATCGCTATTCCACTTCAACGTATGTGTAACTTTAGGTAGCGTAAACTAAAAGTTTTACAAATAATCTTTGTAACGCTTTGGTATCCTCAGGATGCTGCAGAATAAATTCCGTATCATAACGTGTATAGTACTCTAAGAACTATAAATCGTTCACTCACTTCATGTGCACGATACAAAACTGTAAAGATAACTTACAGTATCTAATAGATTTTGAAATGGAATGGACTAAAAAATCCGTTTTTTAGTAATCGTAAAAACAGAATCATTACCGTGAAGGTTTTACGGGTTAAAGTTGCTTTGATTCTTTATTCAGTATCTGTGAAGCATAAATTTCTTTATGCGTTTGATTCAATGCCTAAAAAAGGTATATAAATCTCAGCTGGTGCAGTTTAATTTTATTTAAATTGGAACTACTTCCTTTTCAATAAATAGAGTCTAATAATTCAGAGTCTAATAGAAACACGTCACATGACGTTTTAATAAACTCTTTTATATTTTCTTTTCTCCCACTTCCCTTTATGTATGTGTGTGTGTGTGTGAGAACGTATGAAGAGCGGGAACTGAAATAAAAGTTGCTGTAGCCTTAGATGTGCATGAATGATCCCGAGAAAGGGAAACAGAAGAAAATGCCGCTTCTTCAAACCTCAATCACGGATGAAGAGAAAAGTCTTCTCGATAAAAAAGCTTTAAATCTCGTGTAATGTCTGAGAGATTAAAGAGGTAAAACCCAGAAACACAGCATGGAAACCGAAATCTCTTTTAGTTGCCTCAGGAGGGGAAAACTTTCTTAATTATCCATTGTTCGACAAATACGCTGCGTTACTGAAGACCATTCTCGATGTACCTATTGCATTTATAATTCAAGGGCGATGTTATTTTGCATTTAATAGTACTTTTCTTTATGTTATTAGTGAAATTAAGAGACAGACAAGGCCGTAAACATAAAATGAGATTTTTATATGATATTTTAATGGAGAAGAATATATTTTCAATAATAGCAGTAAACATGGTAGTTATTACTGCTAAAATATATTCTCCACCATTAAAACTTAATATAATTTTAAATTAATATCATTTTAATTAATTTAATTAAAATTATGCTGTTTTATTAATTAAAATTATGCTTAGGAGGTTTTTTTTTAAATGAGATTTATTGATAATTCGTAATCACCCACCTCTATTGCAGTAGCGTATGTAAAGGGGACAAGGAGCTTCAAATTAGTGAGTAAAAGAAGCTCTTTTTTTTTTTTTTTTTTTTTTTTTTTTTTTTTTTTCTTAAAACGTCGACACGCAGCTGTGGAATGTGAAACTTTTAGTTTCCGCTGAACGCTTGGTTTTCGTTACTTGCTCATTTGTTTCTTTTCCGTGTACTGTTTCGTTTTTCGCATTTGTTCATTTGCCTTTTAGAATAACTTATATTTTTCCTTATGGCGATGTCTTAAGCAGAATTTGTTTAATTTCAAGATTTTCTCTCTTAAATTGTTTATTTGTACGAAAATTTTAGATTAAGGAAAAAAAATTGAGTACTGCTCATAGTACCAGTTTTTTTATGCGTAAAATGGGGGCCTTCAGGTTTCTATAAACTAAAAATAATTCAGTAGCTGCTAAATGGTTTGCAGGATTTTAGTTACGTAGAAGTTTAAATCCAAGTCTTACAGACCTTATTAGACTGACAAGCAAGCTATCGCTCAATTAAGATGACAAAGTTCAAAGAAGATTAAGTATTCTTTTCATTAAATCTTAATTTTAACAGAAGGCACCACTGAAACTTGGAAATGAATCTCTGCCGCTTGCTAGTACAGAAGATGTCGCTTAATGTGATCATGTCTGTCTACTGCTATTTTGATAATGTTAACCGAATGGTAACATTAAACAATGAGAAAAATAACCTTGAACATAGCAATGGAAGTTAACTAATTTAATACAATCAAGCTGTTTGGCACTCTTATTTGGCGACATTTCTCTGTCGCTTGGTAATTTTTATTACCAAGCGACAGAGAAATGTCGCCAAACAGAGTGCCAAACAGGATTTACTTTGGCCTTAATTAACTACTACAATTTAGAGAATAATACTTTGATCATATTAACCGAGTTGTTGATCACAATAAGCGATGTATTTTCCATATTGTATCCAAAGGGTGGGACTTCGGGAATTCGATAACAGTATCCGAATGGCAACATTAACCGCGATCGTATTAAGCGGCGTCTACAGTATTTAAAATAAATGAAGTTGAAAATCAAATTCGAGGTAACGTAGTTTGAAACTAGATAAAATGGTCTAAGAAGGTGGTTCAAATATTTTGACTGCGCGTGTTAACGTTGACTAGCGAAAATTCCGGAAAGCCGGAATAATCTCTGTCAGAATTGGCGATAGGACGCAAACTGCAGGTAAGGCCGCCAAAAGCTCAACTGCAAAACATTTGAAACTCTCGGCTAAAATGCTCACACAACTAGTTTGGATTTTAGTCTAAGGAAATGAGAAGCTATAGTAATAATTTAAGTCATAATAATTGGTTAATTAACGTAGTAAAATATCTTACATACTGCCGAAAATATTTAATGCATAAAGTGAAGCAATGACAGATTCAACAAACTGGAAATTAAATTAAAGCAAATCACAGTATGAAATATTACTACATAATCAGGAGAGAATCAAATTGAATTTTTGCTTATAGATGTGTAGAGACATTAGGTAATTTTTGGAAGCAGGCAAAATGAAAAATATGCAACGCCTTCGCCGGGAATCGAACCATGGACCTCTCAATTACGCACTGAGCGTACACCACGAAGCCGGGAGAAATACCTTATATATTGCCCCTTTTAAAGGGTGGCTGGGGTTTTTAGGGAAAACAGTAGCCAAATCCTGGGTGAGGAGAATCATCATCCAACACCCTTTTAGTTCGGGCACCACTGTAGAATCATTAGGTAATCTTGGAAGCAGGCAAGATGATAAATATGCAACGCCTTCCCCGGGAATCGAACCACGGACCCCTCAATTATGCGCTGAGTGTGCTGACCACTACACCACGAAGGCTCGCTAAGAAGGCGAGAGAAATACCTTATAGATGAAGAAAATTTAAGAATTTCCTCAACTATGAAGATGCGGAGACTGATTTTCCTTACGAATAGCTGAAATGCAAAATATTAGGCTATATAACCTTAACTTTCCCTGAAACTGCCATTTCTTCGTGCAGCTAGTTACTTAACTCGGTTATATGGGTCACTTATCTATACAGAGGCGTTCGAAAGTACCTGTCAAAATATAAAGGCAGGAGAAGGTACCTAAACAAGCAGATTTCGTAATAGAATGTGGGTACGGAAGTGGCACTTTGAGGTGGTACAGGGCAGTGTTGAGCGGAAGGTGAAAGCTTTCTGCTGCCGTAAATTCTCGTTCTTTGCGAGGATTTCGAGCGATATATAACTTTTCACGAACACGGAGTCCACCCATTTTATGTATATATACATGTTTTTTATCCAATGGCGAACACTTACCTATTCAGCACTAGCCACTATTAAGACCAGAAGTGGTAGCCATTTTATTGCGGAGGCACCTAATAGGCGGTCACCGTTTCCTCCTATGAAGTGACGGACAGTTACAATCGTGCCTTCTCCGGGATTCGATCCCGGAGAAGGATTATTTTTCCAGGCTTTAATACCTTTATGTCGGCCATTCCATTACTGATAAGCTTTTTCTTTCGCTCGAAAAGGTTTTACTACTTGCAAATGCAATCCTGTCAAAAATGAAGCGACATTTTCCCTATTTTCTGCTTTGCTTTTATATAACACGCATTTCTTATATTTTTACATAGATTGTAGTATATTTGTATGCAGTGTACGTGTACACAGTTTGAAAAACATACTATTTCTTTCTTCGTCAAAGTTTTAAAAATTGTACATTTTTGATAACAGAAGAATTTAATTTTCTCCATTACACAAACATTATTATTTTCTTTCCTATGATTTTTAGGTTTCTTATATATTTGCGTCGACAAATACTTAACATACACTTTTACGAATTTATCTGATGTATCGTTTTTGAAAAGGATATCATAAAAAATACTTGTTTACATGGATCATCCCCATGTGTTAAATTAATGTCGCAATAAGCACAGTGCTCTAGATTTAAAGAACACCACGCACGACCTTACTCTTGACATTGACCTAGGAGAGTAATCCCCCTTTTTTTCCTTACCTCTCTTCTGCTTCACTTTAGCATCCGGCTTAACCAGTCGAACTCAAAACTTCAACTCGGTCAAAGCCTGCAGGGCGGAAGCATCCTGTGATCGGAGTTCCACCGAACCGCCACTTGTTTCGACAACGGTAAACTTCAGCTGAAAGACGTGGCGATTGAAGTTTCCGGATAACAAGATCCCAAATCACTCAGTTCCGTCTCTTCAAGTGGCAGCTAGGTGGATGTAGCGAACTATTCCCTTGTCAATAAAGTGATCTCTTTGTGACTGGATACGCGGGACAGAAGGATTTTCCTAACACAGTGTGATTGTGGATTTGCAACGGATTTGAGGCGAAGCGGAAAATATGAGAAGGTAACAGAGTATACAGAATAGTCTTTCTTTTATCAGCCTTTTGTTCAGGATTAAATATAGAAAGTAATGCATGTAAAGCTGAAAATGTTTACTTTTTCCTCCGTGAGGAAAAGTTGGATCAGAGATTTATTTATCTATTTTTTAATACGGTATGAATTTTGTTCCGAACTTTGAAATTATAGGAGTTGCTTCATAGTAGATATTTGTTAAAGATATATATATATATTTTTTTCATTCTTGATTTGCTGCGCATATTTATTTAAATATTTTTAATACTTTAAAAGAGGAATGCTTATATAAAAAAGTACGGTATTTTTTGACTTGCAGAAGCATTATACCCAGAAGACTTGCGTAGTTTGTTAAATTTTATAAGAATTTCTATGTTTTCTCTATTTTTATTTATTTGCTGCTTTCAACATTTAAATGGATTCACATTTTGATTTTTACATATATTCTCCCTAATAATTTGTAAACATTTAAAGAGTAGTATTTATATAAAATTAAATACTTTAGTTTGTGGAGGTTTAAAGTGCAATCCGCATTTTAACGCGGTAGTAGTACTTTCAAAAAACTTTTTCTGGAGTGCTTTTTATGCAACTTCTCGAAATATTTTTCAGATAATTTGGTCGTTAAATTACTCGTATTATCCTTTGATTAAAAAAAAAAAAAAGTGTCAAAATTCGAGAGCTATATGAAGCAAGATGCTGAAGTTATCTTTAATGTACTTATTAAATGTGTTCAAAGTTTTAATTCACTTTATTTATAAAGATGAATGTAAAAAATCTTGAAATAAATGTATTGAATTTAAAATTTTAATATCTATTTAATTTATTTAGTACATTTAAATTCAATAATATTTGTCCCTTTATGCCAAGTATATTGTGTAACATTAAGAAATATATTTAAGGATTTGAATCATTTGTAACATTTTCGCTCAAGTACAGAATCACAATTTATTGATTTAAAAAATTAAAAAAATAAAAAGTATTATATAAGACGGCAGCTTACATTTGATATCAGCATTTAAGTTTTTTTTTTTTTTTTTTTTTTTGTATGGGAAATAATATTGAAGCATAGAAATAAAATAGCAAGATTTCTTTGCCGGTTTTTCGGTTATACTGTTATACTATAGTTTTAAACAAATTCACTTTTCTGGTACCAGTTTTTATTTTTCCTTTACTCTTTGTTTACTTACATTTTTTACCATATAAACTGTTTGGAAGATATTCACTTTCATGACGTTTATATCTACATTATTTTGCACTCGTCTGTTTGATATTAATGAATTTTGTTAGGAATACTTTTCTGCTAAAATATTTGTTGTAGTTGTAAACAAAATTTTGGGAAGAATTAAAGTTCCATCTTCTTTTTCTGCTTTCAAATTTGTACAGATTATTAATTCCGCCTGAAAAGAAAACTTCTAATGTTATCATAAAAGTATCATTTAAAGAACTCAGTTTTCATATATCTTCATATTACATTCAAAGTAAATATCGATGTCATGAATTTCTCTGCAGATTCTTATTAGTTAATGCCTTTGAAAGGCGACAGAATTAATTATCTTAAATGCGCCTTAAAATATTTTATTTATTTTGTAATTTTTAATCAGTCTTGAAATAGAAATGTATTAGTTTACGCTAATGCAAAAAATGTTTACGGATCGTGTAGAATTATTATTATGTATTAAGCGTATATAAGTCATTCTGATTCATTGTAATTTCAAAATTTTAATTCGATTTGTGCTTTAAGTATAGATAACATTTATATGTGGTTTTTAGAAACAGCCAGCGTAGCTGAACTAAATGATTCTAAAATTTCTTAAGTTCTCCCTTATAACAACGCAATTATTCAATTATACTGAACGATCTATTATCCGTGAACAGAGCATCTGTTTTTCGGATTATTATCTTAGTGTAACTTAACAAAAACATTTTGCACTTGAAGATGAAAACATTGTGACCTTTCTGAAGAAACTCGTGATGCAGTGAATCTTATGATTAAAGCTCGGAATGAAGATAAGAAGCTTAACGTTAGTTTACGGCTGGTGAAACTTATCCCTGATAGCGTAAAAAAGACTCTACTTATGAAAGGGTAACAGTATCGGATCTTCTAGAAATAATTTGAGGTATTTCAAGAATTTGTAACAGTAAAGGAAAAAACACAAATATGCAAATGGCAGACAAGAAAGGTAAAAGTTGTAGTACTATATCGGATTTGTAATGACTCTGAGAAGCTAATAGAAGAACGTGAAGATAATAATGAAGAAGAAATAGCAAGTGTGGCCCCGTGGAACATTGGAATGTGTTCACAAATCATTAAGATTGTATGGGTGAATAAATTGAGGTCTAATTTATTGTTATCACAGCTTTGAGCAGCTCTTTCCGTATTATCTAAAAGAATGTTCATCATATTTGACCCAAAAGGCTCTAGAAAGAGTTACAGCTAACTTTTTCCCTCAAGAAAAACTGACAATTTGAGAAAATTGTACTATTATTTTAATTAAAACCCTTTTCGAAATAGTTACACTGTATGAATTTCGTAAATAAAATCACTAAAGAGTTAATTTTTTACGGTATTACTATTTTACAAGACCATTTTGGGACGATTAGTGTTTTTCGGTTATATGAGCATTTACCAACACGAATTATTGGTAATTCAGTGTAAATAAAGTGTGATATCAGGTTTATTCTTTCAAAGAATAGCTTTATTTCTGAATATTTTTTAACAGATTTTATTTGGAATTCGCTTTATTATTTTTTCGCCTTTGTTGTTTTGTCCATGAATTTCAAGGAAGAATGGTTGCCAGAGCTTCAAGGAGGTTGTACTTCTATTTCCACTCCAGTTTTGAGGGAGAGCACCCAGTAGGGACGGGTCCGAGTGTCTTCTACGTCTATTCCCCTACTAACAACCTCTTGAGAGGACTTTCGGCCAGCCGCGTATTTAGAGTTCCCCTATGCCGCAAAGACACACATTTACAAACATCTATGCCTTTACCGGGAATCGAACACGGGCCCCTTTGTACCGCAGTAGGTTTCCCTAACCACTATACCGTCTAGATGGCGATTCCTAAGATGACAAACCGAAATGAAAAATCTGGTTATTAACATAAAATTAACATTGTGGATTTTTGGTTTATCTTCTCAGCTAAAATTTTCTTTCCTTTTATTTTGATAAATATGCGATCCCATATGATAATATAGATTCCTCTTTTCTAAGGAAGCAAAATATCAGTTAGGTTTAGTCATTAAAATTATCCATGCTTGAGCACTATAGAAGCAGATGTTTAATAATGATCTTAAGTTCATTTAACAAGAAATCTCAGAAGCGAAGAATCATGAAAAGAATGAAATCGGTACTAACAATAAAGGCAAATTTCAGTTAGCTTCTGTAGCGATAGCGAGCAAGTCTGAGGAAATGACGAGGATGTTCAATTCGCAAGAAAAACCCATAGTCTGGAGATAAAATAACATTTCAGACGGTGTATCAAAAGTAATTCAAAATAGAAGAGTAATTACTTTCAGCCACGACTTCTTGGAGTTGCTTTTAAATATGCTATAATATAGTTTTTAAGGAACACTTTATTTTTTTATGAACCTATTATATAGAGGTTAACATAGGAGAAAATTAAAATCAATAGTAGGGATAAAATAACACCCTCTTCCTAAGAGAAAAAGAATAACTCAAGATTGAAGTATTGTTAAGTAATACGAAGTTTTACTTAAAATAGTAATTTGACTAATATTTTGCTAAAATTAAAATTTTAAGTATGATTCTGTGATTGGTTTTGCGAATTCTTATTTACCTGTCCGAGCACATGATTACTTGAAATGAATTGTTGGCATAAAACATTTTTTCTTTATTTGCGATTCATTTAGTCAAGTGTCCTTGTTCTTCTTATCAAACAAATCGAGTCCTAAATATAATTTTAATTAGTATATTATTCTACAGTTAAAGTCCCAATCTTGAAAATATTGAATACAATGATATTCTGTAAATGATCGAGGCAATAATTGCGAAAATGCTGTTGGGACTCATCTTTGCAGATAGTATTCTTGATTTTCAAAATATTATGAACATTTCTATTGTTTTTTGTTATTCATTAATATTACTCTTTTCATACTGATCGCTTTAAAACGATTCCCTGACCTCTGGAATAACAATCTTCTATTCATTGTTTTTCTTCTTCCTTCGGTGATAATATTGCTCTCAGCAACTTGTGTCCTTTCTCCACCTAATCTCGGTTTCGTTACGGTTCATTTACCACAGATGTCAGTACCCACACATCTCTGTTTTCGGCGTAAAGACGGGACAAGTCCATTATTGAAACATAAACAAAACTCTTCATGAACTGTCAGAAAAATGGTTAGCTTGAGTAGGATAATTCTATACAAGAATTCAATTAACTGTTGAAGTTTTATGCAAGACTGGTTAGGGATGAAATCTTTTAAACTTAAAATAGTATTTTTTATAATTCTGCCGTTAAGCTAGTCAACTTTTTAGAACCAAGATTCGACAAAATACTTAGTTTATTATTTTATTTATTTGTTTATTTTTAAATCTTAAAGTTAAAGTAATGTTCAGAGCTAAATGCCTGTATTTTCCTCGCGAGAAATATCAAACTAAATTTAAACATCCGTCTCTGAACGTCAATAAAAAATTTATCTTAAATGAGTATTTTAAGTTATTTCACAGACTGGTAAAATAAAGTGCGTATCAAAGAATAAGACAGAAAGTTATACAAAAATCACTCAAGTAATCTATAATAAAATATTAAATTCTGCTTTGCTTCACCTCGGAATTAGAAATATAATTAAATGAATGCTCTCGTAAAATGCTCCTGCTTTCATAGTAGCTCTACAAAATGTGAGTTATTAATCGGAAAAGGATGAACAATAGCCATTAAAATTGGCATAATGTGTGTAAACCCTGCAGAATGCGTTTCGAAACTTTTGAGCGTCAGGACCGGCAAACAGGCCGGTGCGGCTGCACGGGATAGAAAA